GGAGGGGTTGCTGTGAGTCAGATCCAACTCAACGGCAGTGAGATTGTCTATGTTTATATATATATATATATATATATATCTTATTTTGAAAAATCCAAGTGTATGATTTGCGAATATTTTCATTCTCTGAGTTGTCTTTTCATTTTTTTGATGGTATCCTTTGAAGTATGAAAAATGATTCTTTCCTTATTGAATTGTGTTGGCACCCTTGTCAAATATCAAGTGACCATAAACATGAGAGTTTATTTTTGTACTCTCAATTCTGCCCCACTGATCCTTAGGTCTGTCCTTATGCCAGTACCACACTGTCTCGATTCTTGTACTTTGTAGTAAGCTTTGCAATCAGGAAGTGTGAGTCCTCCAGCTTCCTTCTGAAAAAAGGCCATTGACTTTTTAAAATTTTAAGCCTGTGAGCTCTCCTTTTTTTCTTATTGTGATAAAAATTTATAACAAAATATTTGCCATTTCAATAGTTTTTACATGTACAATTTAGTGAGATGAGTAACTTTTACCCTTTTACGCAACCATCACCATTATCAATTTCTAAATTTTTCCATCACCCTCAGAAGAAGCCTTTGCTAACTCTCATTTAATCTATGGTGCCCGTATTTATTTACTTATTTTCTTGTAGTTTATCTGTTGAAGAAACAGGTTATTTCCCTGGAGTTTTACTCAGTCTAAATTTGTTGTTTGCATCCCTGCGGTGTCAGTTAACATATCCTTCTGCCCTTATATTCCCTGTAAACTGGTAGCTGGACCCAGAGGTGTGATGTGATTTGGGTTCAGTTCTTAGCGGCAATAATTTGCACATGATGTTGGGTTGATTCTGATACTATGAGTTGTTAGTGATCCTTGCCCGGATCATGTTTTCAAAAGAAGTAATTCAATTTTCAAAGGGTCTTTCTGGTTACTGTGTGAATGGGTCACAAGGTTGATACAAGGATTGAGTGGGATAATCATGTAACAAAGCATTTGGTGCCATACCTGGCATGCAGTGACCACTCCATAAATATCAGCCATTATTGTTGTTAGAGCTGTGTATGGGAGACCCAAGCCTGGGCTCACAATCCTTTTCTGGCTGGGACTTTCTCCTCCCTTCTCCTCTGCCCTTGGAGAAGTCAGCAGTGCCCTGTGGCTCAGGGAGGCATGTTCAGGAATGTGGCAGCCATCCTTGCACACCTGGCAGGGCTCCTCCAGGGAAAGAAGGCTGGAGCCTCCTCGCTCACCCGGCGCTTGCACCAGACTGTAAGTGCTCCGGCCCCTTCACCCTGCTATCTGCATGGCCTGGGGTTCTTGTGGTCTGGCTTGGGTCTGGCTTCAAAGCTGTGTGTAGCCTCCTCTTTCAAAAAGCCTTCCCTGATTGCAGCCTGGATGTGGGCCCCCCTTTTGCGCTTGCATCTAGATTAGAAGTTATCACCCCACATCTGAATTACCTGCTTGGTGCTGTGGCCTCCCACTTCATCCCTCACGCCCAAGCCCAGGGCTCAGTACACAGTAGGTGCTTAGTAAACATTGGCTGAATGGATACATTTTTTATAAGCCCCAGAACAAGCACTCTTTCTTCACTTATTCAAGTGCTCCTTGGTGACTCCTTGAGCATCCCAAGGTTCTGGGGCCCCTTTATTTATATTCCCTTCCTAAAGCCATTTAACTTAATTCACTTCTTCTTTTCTTCTCCTTGTCTGTGCTCCTGTACCCCTCTACTCCTGCTCCTACTCCAGCCCTTTTCAAACTCCCTCACTCCAGCCGTCATCCACTCCTTCTCCCCACTGCTCTCCCTGAGTCATGCTTACCTTATTTTTTTTTTAATACAATGCACCTCCAATTCAAAAGCAAGTTCACATATCATCAAACCCAAGATGCCACAAGTTATAAGGTGTGCTACCATTTTTATGGAACAGAAAGAGAACAAAATGCCAATTAAACCCATGCTATTGATTGGTAGTCAAACCTGAATTCAGAGATAACGCAATGTGAAAAACGTGCACATGTTGGAATCAATCAAGTATGGTATGTTCACTGTGTAACAAATTTGGAAAAATGAAAAAGCAACACACAAAATTAAAATCACCCATAATTCCACCACTCAGTGAAAACCTTTGTTAACATTTTGATATATTTCCTTCCAAACTTTTTTCTGTCCATATATGTTCCTGGGAGCTCTGGTAGCATAGTGGCTAAGGCACTTAACTGCTAACCAGAAGGTTGGCGGTTCAAACCCACCAGCTACTTCTCGGAAGGAAGATGGGGCAATCTACTTCTGTAGTGATACTGCCTCAGAAACCCAAGGAGGGGTCGCTATGAGTTGGGTCCAACTTGACAACACACAACAATATATGTTCCTAGAAAACATGTATGTATATACAAACATTTGTTAATTTATTAGTTGGTTTTTTTTCTTTTACAAAACAGGCTCTTACTATACATGCTATTTCGTAGCTTGTTTCATTGATGTCAATAATATCACAATAAGAAATACTCTCCATAAAAGTGAAATGTTTATCTTAGAAAATTTGGAAAAGAAGAAAATAAAAAACATCTGTTAACCAATCAACACAAAGATAATCAGAACTAACATTTTCATTAAAATGTAATTTTCCTGGTAGGGATCACCCTTGTTTTAAACTATTTTGATGTGTACTGAGTGCCAGGTGCCAGGTGCCAGGGATTCAGTGAAGGGACAGGGCTGCCAATGTGGGCAAAATGCCCACCAGGTGCCAGGCCTCATGCTGGGCTTTTTGCAAATCACCCACATCAACAGGAAGCTCAGGCTCTGGGGAAAAGTCCCCTTCCAGGGCAGGGGCCAGGTGCTTGGAGCTCTGCTGCTGCAGCCATGCTAACCAGAGTCCTGGCCAGCTTTTCTGCTTACTTTGGGCAGGTCTCTGCCCCTCTGGGAGCCTCACTGTCTCCATCTGCTAGATGGCAACTGTCTGTCATGGCACCTCCTATTGGGGATGCTGCGGGCACTGAGTGAGATCTTGGGCACTGGAAGGACACAGTGAGGGGTCCCCGTTAGTCACAGCTACTGGTAGAGACCTGGCTCACTACCTACTAGCCATCTGGGCCAGAAGGTGACCAAGGGACCGCAGAACCCATGCTGATGAGGCCAGCTAAATCACCTGCCCAGTGCCGTCCAACCAAGTCAGGCTTAGGACCCTAGTTTGGTGACTCTCAGGCCCAGCCAGTTTCTATACACCTGGGGGTGAGGAGGAAGCTGTCCTGAGAGGAATGCAAAAGAAGGAGGTGTAGAGGGGGCATAAGGACCCTTGAGACTCTCCCAAGACTGAGAGTGCCCTCTTCTACTGAGTCAGAACGTGGCCTATATCAAACAGTCCTGAGTCGGAGTATATTCATTGTATAACCTTGAGCAAAACACTGCCCCCCGCCCCCATTGCCTCATTTTCTTATCTATAAATCGGGCCCAGCCATACAGCCTGCAGAGTGGTCTGAATAAATGAAAAAGCTTAGTCAGGGCCAGGTAGGTGCACAGCAAGACCTTCATAAATGGGAGTGGCTGTCAGAATTGCTGTCTTCCCTATTCCCCCTTCTCCTCCTCATCAGCCAGTCCTTCCTCGGTCAAACTTCAACCCTGCTGAGGTGGGGCTTTGTCTGGGGAGGGGCCTAGTTCTCCATGGGGAGGCTGGGCCAGCCAGCTGCACCTGTAGGCAGTTTGGAGGCTAATAATAAGGAGAGGAACCTGTCTGGACACATAGGGGAGGCAGACTGGTGACAACCGACCTCAATCTCTGGGAGCTCCGATCTCTCCTTCCTCCTAGGACGCAGAAGGTAGGGAGCTGTGCCCAGGAGCGAGCCACCTCTAGGTCAGGCCAGGCTGCTGTATCCAGACAGACCCTAACTACCCTCTTGCTATCTCTAGGTCACCATGGCCAAGCAGCTGCAGGCCCGAAGGTTGAACGGGATAGAAAAGAACCCCTGGTAAGCTGGTCAGGGGACATGTACGTGCCCTCTCAGGCACAGGAGAGGGAAGGATTTTGCCATTGTATCTGCCATATGACAGTGGGACCCAGGATGGTCACAGTGCATAGTCTGAGAGATTTGCAGCCACAGCTGAGGATTAGCACGAGGCTGGTGGTGTCAAGAAGGGACTGTGGCCCAAGGCAGTAGGTAGGCTTGGTTCGAATCTCAGCTTCACCCTGCTTGGCTGTGGTGCTGGGACTCAGCTCTGAGTGTCAGCTTCCAGCTGCAAAATGAAGAAAAATATCTTGAAGGATCCTTGGGAGGAGAGGGTGAAATACTGTGTCATAGCAATAGTCTCTTCCTTAGTACTTGCTCTGACCCAGGCACTAGGCGAAGGGCTTTCCAGGTTTATTTTATTTCACACTTAGTTCCACCTCCATCTTCAGAAGACAGAGACTGTGTGGCAGGTTGGGCAGGTGGAGGGAGGTGGCTCCATGTTTCAGAAAAGGCAGAGTGCAGTGCAGAGGGAGGAAACATCGGGGCAGCCTGAGAAAGGCAGCAGGACGACTTCCTGACTCACAGACCAGCCCAGCAGAGTTGTTGGAGCCTGCAAGAGCCCTGTACCCAATGTACAGAGAGGGAGACCGAGACCAGGAGAGGCTAAGTCTCATGCAAAGGCAAGACACAGCAGAAACTAGCCTGGGAGGAGTGCAGGGAGGAGTTGAAGGCCATTCTGGTCAGGGCAAATTAGGGCCCTGGGCTCCTGCTGACCCCAGAGTAAGGACCTGAGATCAAGATCCAGGGGCCCAACCTAGAAGGTGACCCGTCTCTGTAGCCCTTAGAGCCTGGCTCCCTCAACCCCTTAGATCCATCTACTGTGGAGCTGTTGTTGTTAGGGGCCATCGAGTCCTCTCCGACTCATAACGACCCTATGCACAGCAGAACAAAACACCACTCGGTCCCGCGCCAGCTCCATGATCCTTGCTGTACTTGGGCCCATCGCTGCTGCCACTGTGTCAGTCCATCTCGTTGAGGGCCCTCCCCTCTTTCATCAACCCTCCACCTTACCAAGCATGACATCCTTCTCCAGGGAATGGTCCCTTCTGACATCATGACCAAAGTAGGTGAGACAAAGTCTGGCCATTCTCACTTCCAAGGAGCATTCCAGCTATACTTCCTCCAAAACAGATTTGTTAGTTCTTTTAGCAGTCCATGGTACTTTCAGCATTCTTCACCAACACCACAACTCAAAAGCATCAATTCTTTTTCGGTCTTCCTTATTCATTGTCCAGTTCCCACATGCATATGAGGCGACTGAAAATACCATGGCTTTTGTCAGGTGCACCTTAGTCCTCAAGGAGACATCTTTGCTCTTCAGCACTTGCAAGAGGTCCTTTGCAGCCGATTTGCCTGGTGCTATATATTGTCTGATATCCTGACTGCTGCTTCCATTGGCATCAATTGTAGAACCAAACAATGTGAAGTCTTTGACAACTTCAATCTTTTCTCCATTTATCATGATGCTGCTTATAGGTCCAGTTGTGAGGATTTTTGTTTTCTTTATATTGAGATATAATCCATACTGCAGACTATATTCTTCAGTCTTCATCAGTAAGTGCTTCAAATCATCCTCACTTTCAGCAAGCAAAGTTGTGTTGTCAGTGTATTGCAGGTTGTTAATGATTCTTCCTCCAATCCTGATGCCACGTTCTTCATATAGTCCAGCTTCTTGGATTATTTGCTTAGCATATAGATTGAATAAGTATGGTGAAAGGATAGAACCCTGACTCACTCCCTTCTTGATTTTAAACCATGCATTGTTCGCTTGTCTGAACAACAGCCTCCTGGCCTATGTACAGGTTCCTTATGAGTACAATTAAGTGTTCTGATATTCCCATTCTTCTCAATGTTATCCACAATTTGTTATTATCCACACAATTGAATGCTTCAGCTAGTCAATAAAACACAAGTAAACATCTTTCTGGTATTCTTTGCTTTGAGCCAAGATTCATCTGACATCAACAGTGATATCCCTTGTTCCATGTCCTCCTATGAATCCAGCCTGCATTTCTGGAAGTTCTCTGTCAATATACTGCTTCAACCATTTTTGAGTTATCTTCAGTAAGATTTTACTTGCATATGATATTAATGATATTGTTCAATAATTTCCACATTCTCTGGGATCACCTTTCTTTGGAATGGGTACAAATTTGGATCTCTTCCAGTCAGTTGGCCAGGTAGCTGTCTTCCAAATCTTGTGGCATAGGCAAGTGAGTGCCTCCAGTGGGGCATCTGTTTATTGAAACATCTCAGTGGATATTCCGTCAATTCCTGGAGCCTTGTTCTTCACCAATTCCTTCAGTGCAGCTTCGACTTCTTCCTTCAATACCATTGGTTCTTGAACATATGCCACCTCCTGAAATGGATAAAGTTCAACCAGTTCTTTTTGGTACAGTGACTTCCATCTTCTTTTGATGCTTTGTCCATCATTCAATATTTTGCCCATAGAATCTTTCAATACTGCAACTCGAGGCTTAAATTTTTTCTTCAGTTCTTTCAGCTTGAGAAATGCTGAGCATGTTCTTCCCTTTTGGTTTTCTAACTACAGGTCTTTGCACATTTCATTATACTAATTGGCTTTGTCTGCTCAAGCTGCTCTTTGAAGTCTTCTGTTCATCTCTCTTATCTTATCATTTCTTCCATTTGCTTTATCTACTCTTCGCTCAAAGGCAAGTTTCAGAGTCTCTTCTGACATCCATTTTGGTCTTTTCTTTCTTTCTCATATTTTTAATGACCTCTTGCTTTCTTCATGGATGATGTTCTTGATGTCATCCCACAATTCTTCTGGTTTTTGGTCATTGGTGTTCAATGCATCCAATCTATTCTTTATATAATCTCTCTAAATTCAGGAGGGATATATTCAAGGTCATACTTTGGCTCTCGTGGACTTCTTTTAATTGTCTTCAACTTCAAGGTGAGCTTGAATATGAGCAGTTGATGGTCTGTTCCACAATCAGCTCCTGGCCTTGTTTTGGCTGAAGATATTGAGCTTTTCCATAGCCTCTTGTCACCGATGTAGTCAATCTGATTCCTGTGTACTCCATCTGGTGAAGTCCACATGTATAGTTGCCATTTGTGTTGTTGAAAAAAGGTATTTGCAATACCAATAAGTCATTGGTCTTGCAAAATTCTATCATGTGATCTCCAGCATTAGTCCTGTCACCAAGGCCAAATATTCCAACTACCAGTGATTCTTCTTTGTTTCCAACTTTTGCATTCCAGTCACCAGTGATAATTAACACATCCTGATTGCACATTCGGTCAATTTCAGACTGCAGAAGTTGATAAAAATCTTCAGTTTCCTCATCTTTGGCCTTGGTGGCTGGTGCATAAATTTGAGTAACAGTAGTATTAACTGGTCTTCCTTGCAGAAGTATGGATATTATCCTATCACTGACAGCATTGTACTTCAGGACAGATCTTGAAACATCCTTGTGATGATGAATGCCACTCCATTCCTCTTCAAATTGTCATTCCTGGCATAGTAAGTCATATGGCTGTCTGATTCAAAATGGCCAAAACCAGTCCATTTCAGCTCACTAATGCCTAGGATATCAATCTTTATATGTTCTATTTCATTTTTGGCAACTTCCAGTTTTCCTAGATTCATACTTCATCCATTCCATGTTCCAATTATTAATGGATGTTTGCAGCTGTTTCTCCTCAATATGAGTCGTGCCACATCAGCAAATGGAAGTCCCAAAAGATTTACTTTATCCATATCATTAAGGTTGGTTCTACTCTGATGAGGCAGCTCTTTCCCAGTCCTATTTTAAGTGCCTTCCCACCCAAGGGGCTCGTCTTCCTGCACTGTATTGGACAATGTTTCCAGGCTATTTATAGAGTTGCCCAGTTATGGATCAGACAGTGTTTCTGTACTATTCATAAGGTTTTCCCTGGCCAATTCTTTGAGTAGTGAATGGCCTCTTCCTTCTTCCTAGTCTGTCTCAGTCTGTGAGCTGCGTTGAAACCTGTGCACCGTATGCAACCCTGCTGGCATTTGAAACATCGGTGGCACAGCCTCAAGCCTCACAGCAATGTGCAAGCTCCACAGGATGACAAACTGACAGACAAGTTTGTCTCCCTTAGCTGTTGGAAACCTCTCTGCCCTCCCCTTACCTAATTCCCGCCTGGATCATGCCACTTTGGTGGTTCCCGGCACTCCCTCCCTTTCCTGCCTCTGGAGGATGGGTCCTGCCTCCCTGTGGAGCATCTGCCACCTAATGTTGAGTCTCACCTCTGCCCTTAGCAGCTGTGTGACTCTTGGCAGGTCACCACCCTCTCTGAGCCTCAGCAATTCTTTGTGTCTTCAGAGGCATTGTGGTGCTTTGGGGAGAAAATGACAAATTTTAGACATACATAATATTTATTGTTATGCCCATCCACTCAGTGTTGCTCAAAACTGACTCCTTTGCCCCCAGCCACCTGGGAAACACATACCAGTCCCTCATCGAACCTATCCGTTTCTCTGGGTGGTTGGTCCCCAGGCAGGGCCAGAAGAAAGGTGGAGGCCAGAGATGGTAGGGGCAGGGCTGGCGGGCCCTCTCTGTCCAGTGTGGTGGTTAAGAGCATACACTTGGCTTCAGACGGATGTGACATCAAAGCCTGGCTCTGTCATACCCTAATAGAGAGACCTGGGGCAAGTCACCGTGAGTCTTTTCTCTGTCTGCACAGTAAGCCAGGAGCAGTCCGTGCCTTGTGTTCCGGTTACCTAGTGCCGCTCTGACCGAAATATACCACAAGTGGGATGGCCTTAACAAACAGGAGTTTATTCTTACAGTTTGGAGGTTTTAAGTCCAAGTTCAAAGTGCCAGGCTTTAGGGGCTGGGTGAAAGCCCCTCAACCTTGGGGTCCAACTCTGCCCCCTGCTCCCAGCCCACTGGAGCTAGAGGCGTTTCTTCACTCAGACAGCTGCTGGCTGCTGAGCTGAGAAGCCCCAAGGTTGACAAGTAAAAAGACACAGTCCCAATATTACCAAACCACACAGCAGGCCATTAACTTAAGTCCATTGTAAGTCCCAAGGTCAGCAGGGCATAGCAGGCTGCTGAGCAACAACATGGCTACATGCAGAGTCCAAGTGTGCCACAGGCTAGAGACCAAAGCTGCTGCTTATATATGGGAAGCAGACCATGTACCCAAAGCAGCTACTCAGCTGCTTGTGGTAGATCCCACCATGGAGTTGATTGCCAATCTCATCATGGGGAATAACTACCACCAGCTTCCCAGCCACTCAACCAGGCCCAGCCGAATTGACACCCAAACATAACCACCACACCTTGTGAGGCTGTTGGAAAGATTATCTGATCAGAGTGTCTCAGGTGCTGGTCTTAGCAAATGCATTAGTGGGTCATGATCCACTTACAGGCAATTCAACAAGTGTTTTTAAAGGGCAGGAGAGGATAGAAAACATTGCAATAGGTAGATTGCATCTCGAAGGATGATGTTTCTTGGTTTCTGCTCTACGGAGTTGGCAATGTAAAGATTAACTCTTAATGTGCTTCACGGTTAAGAAAACTTGAAATCTGAAACAAAACTCAAAATCATTAAAAAAAAAAAAAAAGGAAGACCAGGTTTGCTGGTCTGATAGAGCCTAGTGAGACCCCTGAGACTATGGCCCCTAGTTACCCTTCAGGTCTGGTACTGAACTCACTCCTGTGTCTTCCAGCCAAACAATAGACAGGCAAATGGGGTGAACATTTACATCAGGTAGATACACTCCTGGGAAGGATCAGTCATGGGAGACTAGAAGGGCAGTGTTTGCACAGGGAGACAGCTGGGGGGGGGGGGAAGTACATGGGAAGGAAGGACACAGGGAAGAGGTACCTACAGGGAGGAAGTGGGAAGAGAGCTGTTATGTTGTAGGGAATTGCAGTCAATGTCATGACACAAAATGTGTATGAACTGCTGTATGGAAAATGAATTTGCTCTGTAAACTTTCACCCAAATCACAATAAAAATTTTAATAAAACAAAAAAGAAAGCTTGAAACCCATGGTCTTACGCCCTTGGCCTAGTGCTCAACCACCTAAGCTCAAAGCATGGACTAGTTACGCCTGTCACACAGATCTCTGGGCTGGGAGTAGAAGCTAGTTGTCTAGTTTTTCAGAACAGGGCCAGTGCCTTCCTCACCCTGCTCTGGAAGCAGGCGGAAGTCCAGGTTAGGGTGAAGTGATGGACTAGTGCCAACACTCTCTTTATTCTTAGGGTGGAATTTAACAAACTGACCTATGAATATGAAACCGTGAACCTGGGCCAGGGCTTCCCCGACTTCGCACCCCCAGACTTCGCTTTAGAAGCCTTTCAGCGTGCCGCCAGTGAGGACATCATGCTATTCCAGTACACCAAGGCTTTTGTGAGTCTCTTGGCTCCTCCCAGGCCCCCCACCCCAGATACAGATGCTAAGGAAGCCTGGGGGGAGGTGGGGGACACTGAGTCCACATGGGTGTTAGAGCTCTTAAAAACCACATCAATGGCCAAAAGTAGCTTGGAGCAGAGCTGAGAAATTCAGGCCAGCCATAGTTTGCCTCCTTGTTCTAGACCCCATACTGGCAGTTGTTGTTCTAGAAGGAAAAGCAGACAAGAAAACAGTAATGACAGAGTCAGTTGATAAATGCTGTGATGGAGGAGGATGAGGTACTGTGGGAGCAGTAAGGAAAGAATGTAATCTGAGGGTGGGTGGGTCAAGGAAGGCTTCCTAGAGGAGGTAGGTGACACCTAAGCTGAGCCCTAAAGACAAGCTATAGATTAGGATTGACTTCAATCCTAACTTTTTCTCTAAAGGGCCAGATAGTAAATATTTGTCTCTGGATTAGAGCAGCGGTTTGTAAACTTTGGTATCCATCAGGATTAACTGTGAGGATTACCTACCTAACTCCACCGTCTAGAGAGAGTCACTGGCAATCGTTTGGTAGTTTGTCATAGAGTGTGCCAGAGTTTTTACCTTTTTAAAATGTCTGTATAAGCACACAGTTTATACACAGTCACACACACATAGACACAAACACACCTCCATATGAGATTTGCTTTTTTTTTTTTTTTTAATATAAATGGCTGGGAAGTTCATTCCTTGGGCCACAGAGAGGGTTCATTTCTCCCACACCTTTGTGTACTGTGGGCATTATCAGTCATTTTCATATCTGCTTGTATTAGCATTTAATTCTTATAATATTAAAGTGATATTTCAATGTTGCTTTTATTTGCCTTTCTTTTATTATTATTCTTTTCCTGTGTATATTGGCCATCAGCATTTTTTCATTTCATAAACTACCTTTGCTCATTTGTATATATATCTTTGTTGTTTTGTAAGATCTCTTCATATATTAAGTATCTTACTTCTTTCTCTTATAAGTTTTCCCTCTTAGTCTTTTAATTTTTTTCATGGTATCTTTTATTATTCAAAAATTTTTTATTTTTACTTAGTCAAATCCAATAAGTAAATTATGTAGTTAGGCTCTAGATCTTAGGTTTCAGTCACTTGACTTAGCCTTGAGTATTTTATAAGTCTCCTCAGCATATAAACTTACAGAGCCAGTATTCTCAAAGTGGGGTGCTTCCAAAGCTGCAACATAAAGTCCTATTAAACCTTAGCTTAGTGTGACCTTGGGAAAGTCATTACCTTCCTCTGGGTCTCTAATTTCTACCTGTCAAACAACGGGGATCAAATAATGCCTCTCTTGCAAGGGTACTGAGAGGATCAGATGGGCATCAAAGTGTTTCTTAAGCTTCAAAGAGATATGTCTAAAGTGTGGAGCTCACACTACTTCAGGGGCTCCCTTAGATTATGCTCCATGAGGATAATCACTGGGTCTGGTTCTCCACCAATCCCAGTCCAGGACGCTGGGCCTGGCACAAAGCCAGCTCAGTGCCCTGGTGGAAGAGTTGAAAGAGCTCATCCCACAAGGGCTGACCTTGCCCCCTGCTCTGCAACTGGAAGGTGCTAAAGTTGCCTGGATCCAACTGAGTGGGAGGGTGGGCCCAAACTGAGCTCAGGTGGCTCAAGCTGCTCTCTGATGTCCTGGCAGGGTTACCCACCGCTGAAGAATATCCTGGCAGGTTTCTTTGGGAAACTGCTGGGGCAGGAGATAGACCCACTTAAGAATGTGCTGGTGACTGTGGGTGCTTACGGGGCTCTGTTCACAGCCTTCCAGGCCCTGGTAGACAAAGGAGATGAGGTGAGTGAGTGGTCAAGGCTTGGGCTGAATTGGGGTGAGGGGTTAAGGCAGGGCTGATCCCAGCTAATCTGGTCCTTGTACCCAGGTCATCATCATTGAACCCTATTTTGACTGCTACGAACCCATGACATTGATGGCAGGGGGTCACCCTGTGTTTGTGTCCCTGAAGCTGGTAAGGACGCTAAGTGGGCTGTGGGTGGCCAGAGGGGTCTAAGGAATGAGCTGGTTTGTACCCTGGTAAGCAGGAAAGAAGGAAGGAATTGAGGGAGGCTGGTTCCTCTGAGATGAGGGGAGGTGGAGTGGTCCAGAGACCCAGAGGAGAGGGGATGGAGACAGATCCTAGAGGGAGGAAGACCAAGTCCCTGGAGTCGAATGTCTGTTGGGGAGGGTGGGGGCTGAGTATTGTCTATGTTCTCCCATCTCCTCTTGCAGAAGTCTTCCCAGGACCAAGAACTAGATTCCAGCAGCAGCTGGCAGCTGGACCCCACGGAGCTGGCCAGCAAGTTCACATCTCGAACCAAAGCCTTGATCCTTAACACACCCAACAACCCTCTGGGAAAGGTACTTGAGGGACCTTCTTCCCAAAACTTCCCCAGATTGAGTTGAGGTGTCTGGACTCTGTTACTGTTTGCTGTGACTCTGTTCTCCCTGCCTCTGTCTCAGTCTCTTCACCTGTGAAGTGGGAGGGTCGCATGCAGTGAGCTCTTAAGGGCTGCCTCAGGCTCAGTTCTTTCAGAATCTCTGCCCCAAGGTCCTGTCTGAGAACTGAGGCTCTCAGAGGACCTAGAGACAGGGGTAAGAATCTCCAGGGAAGGTAGCAAGGCTAATGTGCTGGGTGCCACCATCACTTCCCTGTGACCTGGGGCAGTGACTTTGCTTCCGGAAGTGTTTCCTCATCTATAAAATGGAAACATGGGGGGACCAGACTCACAGGGCCATGTTGTGGGGATTCAGTGGGATGATGCAGGTAAAGCCCTAAGCACCAGACTAAGCCACATCCTTTAACCTCTCTAAGCACATCCCCTTGAGGATGTGGGGGGAAGGACCCAACTGTAGGCTGTGCTTTCTTGGGTCCTCATAGGTCTTCTCCAAGGCGGAACTGGAGCTGGTGGCCAACCTGTGCCAGCAGCATGACGTACTGTGCATCAGTGACGAGGTCTACCAGTGGCTGGTCTTTGATGGGAAGCAGCACATCAGCATTGGTGAGCTTGGGCTCTGGTCCTTTGCTCCGACCAGGCCTGCTTTGCAGTGGCAGGCCCTTGAGCCCAGTCTGGGAGTCGGCACAGGCTTGGTGACTAGGGCTGAGAGGTCTGGAGCCACACAGGTTGTATGACCTTGGGCAGTGACTCCACCTCTCTGAAACCAGGATCACAATAGCACCTGCTTCCCTGGGTGATCATGAGGAGGAGACACAGTAAATCCTGGAAACAGCTTAGTACTTGGCAGATTCCTGACTGTTGAAAGCCTATAATGCTCCCTGGGACCCAGGTCACACCCTCCCCTGCCCCACCCTCACCCCATCTCAGTAACTGTTCTCTTTGGCCTTGGGCAGCCAGCCTCCCAGGCATGTGGGAACGCACCCTGACCATTGGCAGCGCTGGCAAGACCTTTAGTGTCACTGGCTGGAAGGTGAGTAGAAACGGGTGCCACTATGATTCTTGGTAGGCAGGATGGGCCTGGGAATTAAGAAAGAGTTTGATCAGGGCAGGGAGAGCCTCACTCCCTACCTGTGTTCCTGGTCCAGGTGGGCTGGGTCCTGGGCCCAGATCATCTCATGAAGCACCTGAAGACTGTTCATCAGAACTCTATCTTTCACTGCCCCACACAGCCCCAGGTGAGGAGGGGTAGGGGACCCCACAGTAGTGGGGAGGTGCAACCAGAGAGCCCAGGCTGGCCACATGGTTAGGTCATGTCTGACATATCTGTCCACCCACGCTCCATAGGCTGCAGTAGCCTGGAGCTTCGAGCGGGAGCAGCAGCACTTTGGCAAGCCCAGCAGCTACTTTGTGCAGCTCCCACAGACCACACAGCACAAACGGGACCACATGATAAAAAGCCTGCAGTCAGTGGGCCTGAGGCCCATCATCTCCCAAGGCAGCTACTTCCTCATCGCAGACATCTCAGACTTCAGTGAGTGGGATTGGCCAGGCTGGGTATGGGGAGCTGAGGGACTAGAGGCTGCCCAGGGCTCAGCATGGCCTCTGTTCCCCAGAAAACAAGATGCCCAACTTGCCTGGTGATGCGGATGAGGCCTATGACAGACGCTTCGTCAAATGGATGATCAAAAACAAGGTGGGTTGGCCTCTGTCAGAGCCGCTGTGTTTGGTTTTACAGGTTCTACACTGCCCGGGAATACCAGCCAAGAGGCCAATGAGTGAAACTCCAGCCTCCATCCTGAGCCCTGGTGCAGGGTTGCATCCACTGCAAATAATAGGGAGCCATTTTCTAATTTGCACGAAGATGTGCTGGCATGAGTTCTTGTCCCGCTCTGGGCCTCAGTCTTCCCATTTGTATGGTAAAGAGTTGGCCCATGATCTCATAGCTTTAATCTGTGATTCTAAGGCTTATTTCTGCTCACACTTAACATGTATGATCTCCTCTGCTCTCAGCATTCATCTGCCCTCTTACCAAGTGGGACTTGGAATGAAGCCCTGGAATTCTTTTCCCCTGACCTTGGGGGTGAGATGCACTGCATTAGGGCTAACTTTCCTTCCCCTACCGCATCACAGGGGTGTGTCCTGTGTGTCTCTGTGTCCCCCTTGCCTTGGAGCCTGGCCTGTGTGCCGTGGTGCTGTGCTGAGACATAGGTTTCCTCCTCCCCAGGGCTTGGCGGCCATCCCATGCTCCGTCTTCTGCAGTGAGCCACATCAGAAGCACTTTGACCACTACATCCGTTTCTGCTTTATAAAGGTAAAGGGTGGGGCAGGGGAGGGAAGGCCTCCTCAAGCTTCCCAAGACTCCCTGGGAAGAAGGGTAGCACCGACCTGTGTTGGTACAGGATGATGCCACACTCCAGGCCATGGATGAGAAGCTGCAGAAATGGAAGGCTGAGCTCACGCCCTGAAGTTGCCCCTTTGACCCTGTCCCATCCTGCTTCTACCCGCTGTTTGGGGATCTTTGTCCAGGTTTCAGCCATTCCTAGGTTGGGAGTATTGGGGGTAGATGATACTGGGGGTCCCCTTCTCTGTGACTCAGAATGTCCTCAGAGTTTTCCTTCTAGGTCTTGGGGAACCAAGAGTCCTCTCCTGTTAGTGTCTACACTTCAGTCTTAGGGTGAGCTGGGCTTATTCCTGCCCTTCCTAGGCCAGGTGGTAAATGGGGCTCCCCTCTGGCCTCCCATGACTTGGCTGGGGCCCAGAGGACAGAATCCTGCAGTGTATTAGAGCTCAAGTTCCAGCCCTGTCCCCAGCCCTGCACTGGCCCCAGAGAAGGCTCAGGTATCCCCTTGCCTCTCCTCATCTAAACTTGACTTGAGAAGTTGCCTTTAGACTTGAATCCTCAAGCCAGTACTTTTTGCTCACAATAAAGTTTCAAGTTATTCAACCTCTTGTTGGCTGCTTCTGTCTGCTTCACACTCTGGTGCTGATCAGGACTTGACCAAAATGGAAGAAACCTTAGTGAGCATCAGGTCCCACCTCCTTTTTGTACAGTTCATATGTGTGTGTGTGTGTGTGTGTAAAACTGAAGTTCAGAGATGGGCAGGAACTTGAGACTTGTCTGAGGTCCCACTGTTAGTTAAAGATAAAGGCAGGACTAGAACCCAGGGCTCCTGACTGCATTCCTCACTGTCTTAGGCTGGTTTCTCCAGAAAAGAATATTGCAGTATTGAAGGATTCTGTGAACAAAATATTGAATGATGCAAGAAGCATCAAAAGAAGATAGAAGGAATACACACAGTCATTGTACTAAAAAGAATTGGTCAGTGTTCACCTATTTTAGGAGGTACCATATGATCAAGAACCAATGGTATTTAAAGAAGAAGTCCAAGCTCCACTGAAGGAATGGGTGAAAAACAAGGCTCCAGGAATTGACGGGATACCCACTGAGATGTTTCAACAAACAGATGCAGTGCTGGAGGCACTTACTCATTCATGCCAAGCAATTTGGAAGACAATCGCGTGGCCAGCTGACTGGAAGAGATTGATGTTTGTGCCCATTCCAAAGAAAGGTGATCCAAGAGAATGTGGAAATTGTCAAACAATGTCATTAACATCACACATAAGTAAAATTTTGCTGAAGATAATTCAGAAATGGTTGCAGCAGTACATTGACAAATTCAAGCTGGTTTCAGAAGAGGGTGTGGAACAAGGGATATCAATGCTGATATCAGATGGATCTTGGCTGAAAGCAAAGAATACCAGAAAGATGTTTACATGTGTTTAATGACTATACAAAGGCATTTGACTTTGTGGATCATAACAAATTTTGGATAACATTGCAAAGAATGGGAATTTCAGAACATTTAATTGTGATCATGAGGAACCTATATGTAGACCAAGAGGTTGTCATTCGAACAGAACAAGGGGACACCACATGGTTTAAAATCAGGAAGGGTGTAGGTCAGGGTTGTATCCTTTTATCATACTTATTTAATCTGTGTGCTGAGCAAATAATCCAAGAAGCTGGACTATGTGAAGAAGAACATGGCATCAGAATTGGAGAAAGAATCATTAACAACCTGCGATATGCAGATGACACAACCTTGCTTGCTGAAGGTGAACTTGAAGCACTTACTGATGAAGATCAAAGACTACAATCTTCAGTATGGATTATACTTCAAAATAAAACCAAAATCCTCACAACTGGATCAATAAGGAACATCATGATAAATGAAGAAAAGATTCCATTTTACTTGGATCCACAATCAATACCCATGGAAGCAGCAATCAAAAAATTGATGTTCAGCTATTTCAGGAGGTAGCATATGATCAAGAACCAATGGTATTTAAAGAACCAGTTGTGCAGACGACACAACTTTGCTCACTGAAAGTAAGGATGACTTGAAACACTTACTGATGAAGATTGAAGACTACAGTCTGCAGTATGGATTACACCTCAATATAAAGAAAACAAAAACCCTTACAATGGGACCAATAAGCAGCATCATGATAAATGGAGAAAAGATTGAAGTTGTCAAAGACTTCATATTACTAGGTTCTACAGTCAACACCAATGGAAGCAGCCAAGGTATCAGACATTGTATAGCATTAGGCAGATCTGCTGCAAAGGACCTCTTTCAGGTGTTGAAGAGCAAAGATGTTTCCTTGAAGACAGGTGCACTTGACACAAGCCATGGTATTTTCAGTCACCTCATATGCATGTGAGAGCTGGACAATGAAAAAGGAAGACCAAATAAGAGTTGATGCTTTTGAGTTGTGGTGTTGGTGAAGAATGCTGAAAGTACCATGGACTGCTAAAAGAACTAACAAAACTATCAAATCTGTCCTGAAGGAAGTGCAGCCAGAATGCTCCTTGGAAGCTAGAATGGCCAGACTTCATCTCACATACTTTGGTCATGTTGTAAGAAGGGACCATTCATTCCCTGGAGAAAGATATCATGCTTGGCAAAGTGGAGGGAAAACAAAAAAGGGGAAGGCCCTCAATGAGATAGATTGACACAGTGGCTGCAACAATGGGCTCAGGTGTAACAAAGATCATGGGGCTGGCACAGACTGGGCAGTGTTTCATTCTGCTGTGCATGAGCTTGCTATCAGTCAGAGACAACTTGACAGCACCTAACAACAAATTGCACTGGGCAAATCAGCTCCCAAACACCTCTTTAAAGTATTAAGAAACAAAGATATCGCTTTGAAGACTAAGGCACGCCTAACCCAATCCATGGTATTTCAGTCACCTTGTGCATGTGAAAGCTGGACAATGAATAAGGAAGACTGAAGAAGAGTTGATGCCTTTGAATTGTGGTGTTGGCAAGAAATACTGAAAGTATCATGGACTGCCAGAAGAACAAATCTGTCTGAAATACATGCAGCCAGAATGTTCCTTGGAAGCAAGAATGGCCAAACTTCATCTCATCTACCTTGGTCATGTTGTCACAAGGGGCCATTCCCTGGAGAAGGATACCATGCTTAGTTAAGTAGAGGGTCAGAGAAAAAGGGGAAGACCCTCAATTAGATGGATTGACACAGTAGTTGCAACAAGGGCTTCAAGCATAGCAAGGATTATGAGGATGGTGCAGAATGGGCAGTGTTTCACTCTGTTGTATATAGGGTCATTATGAGTCAGAGCTGACTCAACGGTGCCTAACAACAACAACAACTACACACACACATACTGAGAGAAAGAGAATTGCTCACACAGTTGTAGAGGCTGGCAAGGCCCGAGTCAAACATCAAGCTGGAAGTTTCTTCTGACTCGTGCAGCTGCGGGGCTGATAAACCCAAGATGAACAGACAGTATAGCAGGCTGCTAGCTTCGGAGGATGACAAAGATCAGAAGGTAAAATGGCCAATTGTTGGCTCACAAGATGTGAAGGCAATCCCAAGATCTGCAGACCACTTATTCAAGTCCAGAAACCAATGAGCTAGATGCAAGATTAATATCCAGCAAAAGGCCAGAGACCTTTCCCAGGGTGTCCATATATATATAT